TAGAGTTCGATCCAGCATCTCACATATTTTATGATCAAATCCTTTTTATTTTTAAAATATCCATAAGCTTATGCAATCTTTATTCTTGATTTCAAACTTTTTCTTCTTTGATATTTCTTCTTTGATAAGCTTGTCTTTATCAAAAATAAAATAAGATAAATGATGAAAATTTTCTTCACACAGAGAATGGTCGAGGGTGCCCTGAACATACCCAAGTTGGCGCAAACACCTCTCAAGAAAATATCTAGCCACTGAACTCTTCCATCGAAGATAGCCAAAAAATAGAGCAGTGTCATCAAAGTCCCGATGCAATCTATGATATAAGTTGGGTGTCAAAATGATATCATCTAAGATCATGCATTAATCCTCCGTATGTACTCTTGAAAACCCATTGGATATGAATGTATGACCCTCCATCTGGTGGCCCGTGGGGAGCCAGTGATAAGAACACAAACACGTCTATTAAAAATGAGTGGGACCTGCTCATATATCTTACACTGCACACAAAGAAGAAATTACATATAAAAAATGTCTTTGATAGATAAAAACTAAATAAATACAAAATAACAAATATTCATACCTGAAATAGACTCATATAATCGGAAAGCTGTCTCGTTTCAAAGACACTCGCCTCTCCAAGTGCAGTATATAATATCTTCGAAACAACACACCACATGCCTAATTGATATGCTCAAGCCCAGCCAACTAGGCATGTTCACCTTACTAGATGCAACATGTATACCCTAGAAGTCGCCTTATACATAGAGTGTTCCACTAGTATCTGATACATCTCCCAGAGCTACGAGAGACGAAAGTGAGACCCCCTGTTAAACTTGAACTCCTCCATGACCTTGGTAACCCCTACAGTACTGCTCAACCGTAATACATGCAAGCTCTTGTTTAATGAGAGGAGCGATAAATAAGTTACTTGCTATGGGGAGATGGAATAGGCAGGAGACATCATGGTAATCTTTGTTTCATCAAATGAAATATGAAATGTGAATGTCTCATTATACTATCACTCAACAAATGTGAACTAGTAGAACGTCGAGCATGGTCTGCGAATAATCCACCAAAGGAACCAAACTGACAACGACAATAATATTTCTGACCTTATCAGACATCTAGACATCAACAAAAATTTTCAACTTTGCTATATGGGCGAGCACCTTCAACAGAAGATAGTCCTGTAATAATTAAAGTTTAAATCATAAGTTAATTTCAATTAATCAGTAATAAAAAAAATAAGAACTTTAGAAAAAATATATATATCTCTTTCCACCAACATATGAATGCCACATAATCGACATACATGGTGAACAAGGTACGATTACTATGCTCTCCAAGGCCACCACCATCTGTATGCACAGACGGCCCCGTATTAGCCTGAGCCATCACCTTCGTCTCAGCCAAGGTCATCACCTCTTTCTCATCCTTCTCCACCTTTATCTCAGCCATAACAACCATTTATATGTGAATGCGAGCCTCCAAATCCGTGTCATCCTGAGTGTTTATATCTTCCTGAAATGTCGTCAAGGAAAGAAGCACCAGACTCTGCATCAAAATATTTTTCTAGTCCAACTCTACCTCCTCATGTGAGAACCAGTGGGGACTACTCTACCCGTCTGGATATGCGAATCCTTTCCGTCACCTGCCCCTACACGATGAAAGTTCTCTGCAACTCCGACGGTCCATATAGAAATAATTTATCGTCTTTTCCTTTAGTCCTCATTACAAAAAAATAAACAAAAATATATAAACTATTAGGTTATTTTGAAAAAAAACATAGCTTTATCGAGTTCTTAAAAAACACTTCTTAAATATTTGGTACAAATTCAAAATATTAACATAAAAATGGACTTATTTGTCAAAATGGGCTACCCGACCCTAAACGGGTCAGTTCTGGTGTTCTCGGGTTTTTTAAAGCTGGAACGAAAAAAACTCATTTCTAATATGGACTCGAAAATTATCATCCGAACCCGGCCCTAGATGAGTTTCGGGCTACCAGGCCCTAAACGATTTTTTAAATAAAAAAATTAAAATAAAAACTCCATAATATTTATTATAAATAAAATTAAAAATTATATTATTTTAAAAATAATACATTTTAAAGTGCTATCTTATCTTTTATAAATACTATAGTGTGTTTTTAAATACAATACATGTCTAAAAAATAATATTCGAATATTTAACATAAGAGAAACGAATAAAAATATGAGAAAAGATTGTTGATTATATTAATGTATAATATTTAAAAGAGAAAGATTGAATAGAATGAAGATACAATTTAGTGAGGTGAGAAAAACCAATGTGTTATTTTGGAGTAAGACAATATAAGTATTAATATAGTTTTTAAAAAAAATTTATAGCGACGTGGAGCAATGGGCTACCCATGGTCCATATGGACTAGTCCAAATGGGTAGCGGACTTTTTAGAGTTGGGATAAAAAATTCCTGAAAAATATGAATTCTAATTTTAAGACGCAACCCTATAATTTTTCGGGTGTAGCGGATCGATCCATATTGTTAGGAACCATATTTGTTCATGACATATATTCCTTGGGTTTTGATGATAATAAAGTATTTAAGAATAATGGTTATATTTGATGTGTGTTTCCTGTATGCAGGTTCTATTACTTGTAAATATTTATATACAAAATCTGATATATAAAGAAACACTTGAGAGAATGTGAATTGCTAGCTTCTAGTGGTGCAGAATCTTAAGAACACTTACTAAGTGATGTCTGACGCAGACTTTGAAGCTGAAGGCCTTACCATCAGAAGAAGTAACATAATTGTCTCTATACTTGGTGAATGTAAATTGACTTCTGGTATCATTTAGAGTTATAGATAAAGTTGAAGTTGTCCGTACTGCATAAAACAATCTGCATTATCAAATCAGTTTGTCAGCTAGAGTCTAAATTCACAAGGCTCAAGAAAGGTTGATATGCTTTACGGACATCTACTCTCAACGACTCTATAGTATCAGATCTTTTTGAATACTCAATAATTAAAGATATTATACAATGGATCAAGATCTTTTGGTATATCTATCTTCAACGACTCTTATACTATGGAGTAAAGCAAAGACACTTAATCAAGTTATCTCTTCCAACGGCTAGTCTGTTGCAACTGCTATATAAGTGGCTGAAAGTTCAAACTAAATATATAACAAGGATTAAAAAGATGAAGGAGTAACAAGATTAGCAATTATCAACTTTATCGTGCATGTATATTTTCTGTTGTAGGTTGTAATTGTAAAAGCCTTAAGATTTATTACATATTGAATATATTAGAAATCTTAAAATCTTTAGGTCTTTGTTATGGTGATTTCCCGTACCTCTGATATTAGTATCAAGTACACCTTGTTCTCTATTCCGCTGAACTTGTTTAGCATTTTATATTAAGTCTCTCGTCAAGATGCTTGAGCCATGTAAGTTTTATGTTATGTGCTTGAGCAATGAAAGTCTTAATTAAGTGGTTTGATTAAGGAGAAGTCTTGTATCATTAGGATACAAGCAAAGAAGTCTCTCGCCAAGAGACTTGAGTCATGTAAGTGTCATGTTATATGCTTGAGCAATGAAAGTCTTAATCAAGTAGATTGATTGAGCAGGATGACTCGTTTGTGGAACTTGAAGCAGATGTCTTGAACCTGGGGGGCTTGAGCAGGAAGACTCATTTCATGGAACCTGGAGCAGAAGTCTTAAATATGAGGGGTTTGAGCAGGAAGGCTCGTTTCATGGAACCTGGAGCAGAAGTCTTAGGCTGTAGTCTGAGCAAGGAAGTCTCGAGTCTGTAGGACTTGAGCAAGAAGTCTTGGACCTAGGGTTTGATCAGTGTAAAAGACTTATGCTGAATGCATAAGCGATTGTAATCATGATTTGATTATAGTGAAAATCTCTTATGAAGCAATGGGCCTAAACTACTCTCAGTTGGGAGGAACTAGTATAAATATTAGTGTCTTTTGTTATTATTTATTTACTTTTGTTAACATCCGCTGCTAAGTATAATCAGAATCTGAACAACAGTTTAGATTCTGAACACTTATCAGACGCAAATTAAGAAAACAAAAAACACAATTCAACTCCCTTCTTGTGTACTTTTCTCACATTCACATATGGGATAACCCGTTTTAACAACTCTAAATTAATCACAAGAGTTCTCAAATCCTAAAAGTGAAATAATATGGAAACCAACGGTAATATAGTTAATATAGTAAGGAAAAAATATACTTTGCGTCCTTTAAGTTGTTTTATTATAATAAGACAGTTCTTTTATGTTTTTCTTTTACATACAAATCTCATTTGTTTTTAAATTGTAACAACCACGTTTTTCAAGTTTTGTACGTTGTTCAAATTACGATCATATTGTAACAAAACTGATATAAAATTGTAAGAAGTGTTACATAAAGGTACAAAAAGTCATGTCTTATGACAAATGTTAGATGAAGGTGTCAAAAGTCATGTCTTACGACAAGTGTTAGATGAAGGTACCAAAAAACATGTCTTTCGACACTAACATCAAAATTAACAATGATAATTATTTATGAACTAAAATACACATCAACACTACAAAAATCAAAACTAACATCATTATGACATATACTAATATCTTTAACATGTTCTTTGTCATCTCCTTAAATAACATATCAGCGTCGTTAATGTCACATAAATTTTTTTAAAACAGATTTTATAAAAAAAATCAACGGTAAACACGTTAATTAACATAAAAGATTAAATTAAAAAAAAACTTAAAAAACTACTTTGTTATAATAAAATAATTTAAAGAACTCGGAATATATTTTTGGCACAGTGTAAACAAATTTTTTTGACAATGCTAAAGTAAAATTTTGTGTAATGTCAAATTTTCAGATCCAACTTTTTTCTCTAATCAAACGGGGTTTTCGTATACGCGCGCATTCGAACACACCAAGTGTTTGATTATATGCGCCACTCAATGAAGAACAAAACAGTTCCTCATTTATGATCTAAACGGTGCTAAATGTCGATGAATTCAATTCCTTTTCTTCGCAAGTTCAATTTATTACAACTTCGCATTCAAATTCGTTTCTATACCCGTCGTCGTGACCCTTTTCCCACAAAAATTTGTCACTACCTAAACCGTGCAAAGCTTATAGATTCAATTCGACTTTCTCTACGCTCTAATAACCCTAATTCCACACTCCCCACTCTCATAAGCCACCGTTTATTCGACTCTTTTGTTGTCACTCATGCACTTCGTTCTGCACCTTGTGCAGATTCTGCACTTTCCCTCATTTATACTCTTGAGAAAACAGAAAGTACCAATTTTTCCCATACCCAGAATACCCTTCATGCTCTTGCCACTGTGCTGGCAAAATCTGGTAAGTGTGATGAGCTTAAATCCCTCATTGATGATATCCAAAGAAAACGGTTTGGAAATGTTAAGATCAGTTTTATGAATTTAATGCAGTGGTATGCTGCAGCTAGGGACATTGGTTCGGTTCTCGAGGTTTGGGATCGGTATAGACTTGATGCAATGAACCGTGTATGTACCGAATCTTATAACATTGTTATGTCTCTTTATGTAGAATTGGGTAGGGACTGTGAGGCTGTTGGAGTTTTTTGTAAAATGGTTGATGAAGGGTCGGTTCCTAATTGTAGAAGCTTTAGTATAATAATTGAGCACCTTGTGAAATCAGGCAAGTTTTTTGAAGCCATTGAGGTTTTTAATTTGTTGCCTTTGATGAGGATTAAACGTACAATGAAACAGTACTCGGTTCTAATTGAAGGTTTGGTTGGTAGTAAAATGTTTGATGAAGTTGGAGTTTTAGTTACTGAGATGCAAGTTGATGGAATATTACCTAGTCGAACTGTGAGTTTGTTATTGAAGCAGGTGAAGGATGAAGGATTTCTTAAGGATATGGATGAATTGTATACAGAAATTTGCCCGGATGAAAGAATCAAGAATGTAAGATATGCTAATGATAGTAGTGATGAGGATGAGGATGAGGAAGAGGGCGAAAATGAAAATGGGAATGGTGATTTGCAATGTGATCATGTAAATGCGATCCGCTTAAAACCCTGGCTAGATCCGCGGTCTCTGGCTAGTGCCTTACAGAACTGGAGTCCTGATGAGGTATCAGCACTAGAGGATGCAAAGTTTGTATGGACAACTAGATTGGTGTGCAAGATACTTAGATGTTTCAATAAACCAGATACTGCGTGGAATTTCTTCTGCTGGGTTGCGGATCAACCTGGATTTACTCATAATATATACACGGTGCAAAGAATTATGACCTTTCTAGCTCGCCATGGACGTACTGAGTTAGTTGATAAACTCACCTCCAAGATCAGAATGGAAGGAATGAGACTACCATTTAGCACCTTAAGGTTAATCATTGACTTTTATGGGATTTCAAAAAATGCTGATGCTGCTCTGAAGGTTTTCAACAATGATCGAATACTTTGTGGGTCTATATCAAAAGTTAACATGATGCTTCTGTTTTCATCTCTTTTAAGAACGTTAACCAAGTGTGGTAAGGATTCCGATGCCCTGGAAATGCTTGATGAGATGATTTTAAATGGAATTTGCCCAGATATCCAAACATTTTCAGGTCTAATGCAGTATTTTTCACAACTTGGTGACATTAAAACTGCACAGACACTCTTTTCAATGCTCAGACAGAGTGGTTTTGAACCAGACGCATATCTGTTTAAGGTACTAATCGAAGGTTATTGCAAGTCCAAAAGAGCTGCACTGGCTTGGAGGCTATTTGAAGACATGAAGAATTCGGGTTTGATCCCTGATTTTGCCACCAAAGAGTTGCTTGTGAAGAGCCTCTGGAGAGAAGGGAGACGGAGAGAGGCTGCAGCAGTAGAAGAGAGCTGTGAGGAAGTGAATATGGCCCTTCCACCTGCATTACCTGGTCATGTATGGACTGTCAGTTCTGCAGATCTCACGAGAGTTTTTAACATTTATTCAAATTGTTTTACTTCAAAAGGTGACTAGAGTTATTCATTGGGCTATATGATGGTGCGTACTTCACCTTGCATGAAATCTCCGCACAAAGTATATCAAGTAAAAAGCAATACCCAAATTCCTTAACCTTTGATATTTTTTTGGGAGAGGTTGCAAAAAAATTGTTAGTTGCAGTAATTATTTGAGTTTTGAAAATGTATTGTTGGCAAAACATAAGTTGATACTCAGGAATTAGCTCTTGTTCTGATGGATACTTAATGCTTCATTGTATAATTGAATTCACTTGGTCAAATGCTAGAAGTCATCTTGGCACAATCACAGGATGAATAAGCCTCTGGTTGAAAGCTACATTCAGTCGTTTGCTGACTTCTGCAACTTGAGGGGAATCTAATGATTATTTATTTATTATTATTGCTGGTGCTTACTACAATTATCAATTCCTTTTAATTTTCTTACAAAAAAAGTTGGTTACAAGATCTCTTTAATATATTGTTATCAGTTTCTTTTATGTAAGAAGGGTTTCTCTATGCGGAACTGTGAAGACTAGTCCTTCGAATTGGGTTGGACAACATGAGCGGCAAAGTTGTTCATGAAGAGTTTAACACTGTTGTATTCTCATGAAGTACAAAAAGCCACACTCAAGCGAAAAAAGGATAGGGTAAGAATGACATCTTATTCCATTTAATTTAGTAGGAGAAGTCAAGCTTATGTGGCGATGTAAATGTTGTTTCTATCCAACTTAGCTTTGTACTAGAAATAGGGAACATATAAACTATGGAGAGTTTATTAAGGTGTTTTAATATATTAAAACCATTGTAAATGGAAGTGTCAACACTGTTAGCTGTTCATTGCCTGTGTATATTATAATAGCATATATACAATAGACTTGGCCTTTGTTAAACGTTAAACCATATCTTTTGTGAGTCTGCCCCTTATAAATATGGTAAAGGCATCAAGTTAGATAGACTTTAGGTACCAGCCAGCTAGCTGACATCGTGTAAGGACATATTGGATTACAAAACTATATTATTATTATCATCTTTATTATATTCTGCGCATGATTTCATACTTAATTTGGATATGTCCACAGTGTCTAAGATTTGAAAAGGAGAAATAGTAAAACTAATGACAGAGACAGAAGCATATATTTTTAATATCAAACCAAAAGATATGTCCAAAGAAGAGATGGATATAAAGTTAGAGGTATAACAATTAGTCTTGGTTGTTACTTGCCATAAGAAACTCTCTTTTCTCTTTCCCATAACTTGCATTTCTTCACAATTACACAACAATGGCTATCTTCTTTCTTCCTTCTAGTTCTCATGTTCTTTTTGTTGCATTCATGTTGTTTTTTGTCACTAATATTTCAGCTCAACCACTTCAACTCAGTGGAACAAACTTTTCATGCCCGGTGGATTCACCTCCTTCATGTGAAACCTATGTGACATACTTTGCTCGGTCTCCAAACTTTTTGAGCCTAACTAACATATCTGATATATTTGATATGAGTCCTTTATCCATTGCAAAAGGCAGTAACATAGAAGACGAGGACAAGAAGCTTGTTGAAGGCCAACTCTTACTAGTGCCTGTAACTTGTGGTTGCACTAGAAATCACAATTTTGCGAATTTTACCTACACAATCAAGCTAGGTGACAACTATTTCATAGTTTCAACCACTTCATACCAGAATCTTACAAATTATGTGGAAATGGAAAATTTCAACCCTAATCTAAGTCCAAATCTATTGCCACCAGAAATCAAAGTTGTAGTCCCTTTATTCTGCAAATGTCCGTCGAAGAATCAGTTGAGCAAAGGAATAAAGTATCTGATTACTTATGTGTGGCAGACTAATGACAATGTTACCCATGTAAGTTCCAAGTTTGGTGCATCACAGGTGGACATGTTTACTGAAAACGATCAAAACTTCACTGCTTCAACCAACGTTCCGATTTTGATCCCTGTGACAAAGTTACCGGTAATTGATCAACCATCTTCAAATGGAAGAAAAAACAGCACTCAAAAACCTGCTTTTATAATTGGTATTACCCTAGGATGTGCTTTTTTCGTTGTAGTTTTAACACTATCACTTGTTTATGTATATTGTCTGAAAATTAAGAGATTGAATAGGAGTACTTCATTGGCGGAGACTGCGGATAAGTTGCTTTCAGGTGTTTCGGGTTACGTAAGCAAGCCAACAATGTATGAAATGGATGCGATCATGGAAGCTACGATGAACCTGAGTGAGAATTGTAAGATTGGTGAATCAGTTTACAAGGCCAATATAGATGGTAGAGTTTTAGCTGTGAAAAAAATCAAGAAAGATGCTTCTGAGGAGCTGAAAATTCTGCAGAAGGTAAATCATGGAAATCTTGTGAAACTTATGGGCGTGTCTTCCGACAACGACGGAAACTGTTTCCTTGTTTACGAGTATGCTGAAAATGGATCACTTGATGAGTGGTTGTTCTCGGAGTTGTCGAAAACTTCGAACTCCGTGGTCTCGCTTACATGGTCTCAGAGAATAACAGTAGCAGTGGATGTTGCAGTTGGTTTGCAATACATGCATGAACATACTTACCCAAGAATAATCCACAGAGACATCACAACAAGTAATATCCTTCTGGATTCAAACTTTAAGGCCAAGATAGCGAATTTTTCAATGGCTAGAACTTCAACAAATTCCATGATGCCAAAAATCGATGTTTTTGCTTTTGGGGTGGTTCTGATTGAGTTGCTTACCGGCAAGAAAGCGATAACAACGAAGGAAAGTGGTGAGGTGGTTATTCTGTGGAAGGATTTCTGGAAGATTTTTGATCTAGAAGGGAATAGAGAAGAGAGCTTAAGAAAATGGATGGATCCTAAGCTAGAGAATTTTTATCCTATTGATAATGCTCTTAGTTTGGCTTCTTTAGCAGTGAATTGTACTGCAGATAAATCATTGTCAAGACCAAGCATTGCAGAAATTGTTCTTTGTCTTTCTCTTCTCAATCAATCATCATCTGAACCAATGTTAGAAAGATCTTTGACATCTGGTTTAGATGCTGAAGCTACTCATGTTGTTACTTCTATAGTAGCTCGTTGATATTCAAGTGAAGGTAACACTGAATCGATGCTTCAATTTCTTATATTCAAGATGGTTACTTTGTTTAGATGATTATTGATTACATCTTTATGTGTGGAACTCTATGGTTATCTTAATTAAGGGAATTGTTCTAAATTTCATTTTTCCGAATAAAGCACGAGTTTCGATAAAGTGAATTGTAAGTTGCCATTGAACTCAGAATAATTTCGGTTATTATGTTTGTCGCTGACACTTATAAAGAAAGTATGTCGGATCTTTGATATATGTCTGACACCAACACAACATTGATTTGTTTATCTATTTTTTCAAATTATTAGTGAGGTTTGTCATCAAATGTTGATGCAAGTCAGCTATAACTTCATTCTTTTTTTTGTTTTTTTGGGATGGATGGGTATTCATGTAAAGCTAAAGGCACATTTTTAATTAAAATCATTTATGTAATTGCAAAAGTCTTCTTTGGTGTTTCAATAATTGATGAAGGGACCTCTTACCGTCGATGGTTGAGTTAACAATACCACTTCTATATATGTGGAGAATCTTTCTTAAGCATCAAAACTTCATTGACCCGCCGCTAAAAGACAAAGTGATTAATGAAGCTTGGAAATGATGAATCAATATGCTAAAGGAATTTGCTGGGTCATTCATAAAAAGATATTAGTTATTTCCTTTTGTTAAAACCATATTAGCTCTAACCAGAAATAATTTATTTATATTAATATGCTGAATAATTGATGGAATTTACTATTTGGTTAAAGTTTGAACACAATATGAATAATTAAATCAAAATGAACGCAATATACTTTTTTTCATTCAATACTTCACACGAATAAATGATAAAAAATAAATAACAAAGGATACATTAAAAAATATTTTCTACCCGTCTTAAAATAAGTGTCATAATTAATATTTTTACATAGATTAAAACAAATAAAAAATAATAATAATTTTACTAAATTATGAATGCAAAATACAAAAATTATAAATTAAAAATATTAATTTAAGTATAAATTAAAATTTAATTGGTAACATAAAATAACAAGTATTTTTTTTTTTACAATTGGATCAGTAATTTAGAATTTGTGAAGGTATTGATATTAGTCGAGTATTGTTTCAATCAGAATTAAATATTATTTTCACCAGAAATTAAATTGGATATTCTCTAAATTTTCGTTTTTTAGTAAGAGTTTATACCACTTGAACTTAAATATTGAGTGAAATTAACCAGTATTTTAAAACAAATAAGATGACCTTTATTTTGGGACAGTAATTAATAGCGCACCTCAAATGATTACTCCATTGTTACAATGTTAGTACTTAGTAGTAGTACAAAGATTATATGCGATGCTTTTAAGAGAAAAGTTACGGTATAATTATAATTGTAGCACCATCAAATAAACAAAATTACATGGTTTTCTTTAATTAATACTCTAACAACTAAGTTTTTAAGGACAAATAAGGGAGATATTGCGAATTCAAGTAGGAGCTCTTGTAATACGATGGTCATGCATTATTATCAAATAAATTAATTTAAAGAAACAAATTTAATAATAATTATATTGATAAAAAAAAAATTATGAGATTTTAGATCGAACTTTAACTTTGTCGAGAAATAGTTTTCATGTGTTTTGACAGGAGACAAACATGAAGTCAAAGATGAGTCGCATGTTGTGGTCGAAGGATACATATTGTAGTCGAAGTCTGTTCTAATATGTATCGTTGAAATGTTTGTCGAATTGGACATTTTGTAATGGATTCAATTGTTTAATTTGTTGGTGCAAAGATAGAATAAATGATGAAATAGGAAATATTACTAATAAGAGAATGACGGCTACAAAGCATGATATTTTGTTACAATGATTGTCACCCTATTTATAAGCTAAAACTAGGGTTACTAGAATAAGATAAATACTAAAATACCCTCTAACAAACTTAGGGGCCAAGAAAATAGTACAACTAAATAAATATGAATTATTAATAATATTCTAATACCATCCCTTAATTCATATTCCATCAAAACTTGTGACACCAATTCCATCCCTTAATCTGAGAAATTGATCAGTTTTGATAGCTTTCGTCAGAACATCTGCCAACTGCTTCTGAGTGCTGCAGTGTACAACTTCTAACACTCCACTCTGAACTTGATGTCTCAGAAAATGATACTTGGTCTCAATATGCTTGCTTCTCCCATGCAACACTGGGTTTCTAGCAAGATTGATTGCAGACTTATTGTCAATCATCAACTTCAGAGGTTTGTCTACTTTAATCTTCAGATCCTGCAACAGATTCAGAATCCACACAGCTTGGCATGCAGTAACAGCACCTGCAATGTATTCAGCTTCACAGGTTGACAACGCCACAACAGGTTGCTTCTTGGAACACCAAGAAATGTGACCTCCCAGAAATTTGAACAAGTACCCAGATGTACTTCTTCTGTCAACTCTGTCTCCACACCAATCAGAGTCTGAATAACTCAGAAGTTCTGACTCATTATTTCCTCCAGAGGGAAATAACACTCCATACTTCAGAGTTCCTTTGATATACCTCAGAATCCTGACAGCAGCTTGGTAATGGGACCACTTAGGTTTACTCATGAACCTACTAACCATCCCAACTGAGTAGCAAATATCAGGTCTGGTATTGCACAGATACCTCAGAGAACCAACCAACTGTTTGAAGGTTGTAGCATCCACATCCTTTCCTTCAGAGTCTGAATCCAGTTTCTGATTTGTATCAGAAGGTGTGACAGCCATCTTACAATTCTTTAGATCAAATCTCTTCAGAAGTTCTAATTCATACTTGAGCTGATGCAAAATGATACCTTTCTCAGAATATCTGAACTCCATCCCTAGAAAGTATGTCATTTTGCCTAGATCAGTCATTTCAAATTCATTCATCAGAACCTTCTTGAACTTGGCTATCTCATGTTCAGAACTTCCAGTCAATAGTATATCATCAACATATAAACATACCAGAGTCATATTGCCTTCAGAAGTATGCTGAACATAGACACCGTACTCCATCTCACATTTCTGAAAGCCTTGCTTCTTGAAAAATGAATCAATCTTCTGATTCCAAGCTCTGGGCGCTTGTTTCAATCCATATAGAGCTTTGTATAATCTGTACACCATCCCTTCCTGATTTTTTTTCACAAATCCAGGAGGTTGTGACACGTAAACTTCTTCTTCTAATGGACCATTCAGAAATGCAGATTTTACATCTAAATGCATCAGAGGCCAATTCCTGTTAGCAGCTATTGCAATCACCATTCTGATTGTTTCATGTCTTGCTACAGGTGCAAACACTTCAGAATAATCCAGCCCAGGTTTCTGTAGAAATCCTCTGGCTACCAACCTTGCTTTATGTTTGCCAATTGACCCATCTGGCTTTAACTTCTGCTTGAAAACCCATCTGACGCTGATGGCTTTCTTGTCTTTTGGAAGTTCTGTCAGCTTCCAAGTCTTGTTTCTCTCTATAGCATCAAGTTCTTCTTTCATGGCCTTCAGCCAGAGCTTCTGCTTAAGAGCCTCCTCTGTACTTATAGGTTCAGAGTCTACTAACATGGCACACTGAATAACTTCTCCTTCAGAGTCTACTTCAGTGTCTTGCAGCATGTCAAATTCTGCAAATCTTCTGGGAACGCTTCTGACTCTTTGTGGTCTCTGAACTTGTTCAGAGTCTTGAGCTTCAGAGTTTCTAGCTTCAGATGATTGACCTCCAGAGCTTTGACCATCTTCAGAGTCTGGCATATTTCCAGAGTCTTGAACTTCAGAATTTCTAGCTTCAGAGGCTTGACTTCCTCCAGAGCCTTGGCCATCTTCAGAGTCTGAATTTCCACCAGAATCTGGATTACCATCAGAGTCTGGATCATCAGAGTCACCTTCATCTTCTGAGTCTTCTCCAGAGTCAGAATCACTATGAGAGTCAGAATCAACGTCAGAGTTTACTTCAACTTCAGAAATTCTTAACTCTGACCTTTCTTCAGAGGTTCTAACATCAGAATCAGATTGAGACTTATCCCAATTCCAAACTTCTGATTCCTTCACAATCACATCTCTGCTGAATTCAATTTTATTGGTTTCTGGACAATAGAGCTTGTATGCACCTGTACTGTGGTACCCTATCAGAATCATCACTTTGCTTCTATCATCCAGCTTCTGTCTTCTGGCTTCTGGAACATGTTTATAGCAAACAGAACCAAATACCTTCAGATGACTAACACTTTGCTTGTCTCCAGTCCACTTCTGCATAGGAACTATTTCCTTCAACTTCTTCGTAGGACATCTGTTGAGTACATACGTTGCAGTGGCAACAGCTTCTCCCCAGAGCTTCTGAGGAAGCTTCTTCTCCTTTAGCATGCTTCTCACCATATCAAGCAAAGTACGGTTTCTTCTTTCAGCAAGACCATTGTGTTGAGGGGTATAAGGAGCAGTAACCTCATGCTCAATTCCATTCTCCTCACAGAACTTCTGGAACTCTTTGGAGTTATACTCACCTCCACCATCAGTTCTAAGAATCTTCAACTTCTGACCACTCTGATTCTCAGCCTTCATTCTGAACTTCTTGAATTCATCAAACACCTCGTGTTTGAACTTAATAAGGGATACCCATGTCATTCTTGTGAATTCATCAACAAACAACACAAAGTATTTATTCCCTCCAATTGATGCTACTGGAAATGGACCACACACATCAGAGTGTACAACTCCCAAGGCATGTTTTGCTCTTGGAGCAACTTCTGATGCAAATGGCAATCTTGGTTGTTTTCCTTCCATGCACACTTTGCATGACTTTTCAGGCTTCTTAATTGCAGGAATTCCATGTACCAATTTCTTTGAGTTCAGATGTTGTAAGCTTCTGAAATTCAAATGACCAAATCTTCTGTGCCACAGCTCACTCTCCTTCTCAGTACTTGTTGCACTAAGACACTCTGAGTCTGCAGTTCTGACATTCACCTTGAATGTTCTATTCCTTCCCTGTTCTGACTCCATAATCAACTTCTG